AATGCAAATGCATACTGAAATCAAAGGGTTCACTAACAGGCCTAGACACCCAATATTTGGCTGACTTCTTTCCGTGGGATACGGAAACATTGTCACACCCTTTTGACAAGCATTTATTTACTATATTGTTTCAGAGCAAAGGCCATCTCTTCTCTACTACTTTTTGTAAATAGCAGAAAAATTCTTTCGTCGTTTTTGCGCTCGAGATGGTTAATAATCTTTAACCTTTTTATGTGGAGGTAAACTATTTGAAGAATTCTAGATAGCATCATACGCAGATTGTTATTGAATTTATCGGCAAACATTTCGACAGATTGCCTTCTTCAGAAATAAACATTATGATGTGCATCTTATCGAGCAAATGTCCTGCGGCTATGCAAACGAAGCTCCAAATGTTAATTTTAGTTACTGTCTTTGCTACAAGAACAACCGTCATCTTCTATTAGTGACGTTTTGCAATAACGACCGCTAATTGCTGGGTGATCAAGTAGGCAAATGATTTAGAATGCCTTTTTGGTCAGTTTTGCAGGTCTTCCAGTCTAGTTTTTTTTATTTACTATGCAGTATGCCAGCCGAGTATATATGAGAAGGATGCAAAGCCAGCTCAGTATTTATTACTATAAATTGGATGGAATTCAAAGGGAGTGGAAGGCTAGCCTTGGTTGAACCAAACTTCTTGAAATACCCATTTACGTTCACTTCTCGTTGTTTTAATTGGTTTTCCAGTTGTTTTTGAAGTGGTAGGCTCTAATGTGGTGCTGTCAAGAGCGGATGTCGTCGTCACCTTGAAGTTGAAATGTAAATAACTGAACTTTCTGCTCTTAATAAGCTGTGGTGATCCCTTTTACGCTTGTGGTTAATTCAATGATAATGTGGTTATTAATAACTGTGTTAATTGTTGCACACTCACTTCCATCATAGTGGCTGAAGTTTCCAAAAATTTTTGTTCTTCACTGGTAAAGTACTCCTCATCGTCTTCATCTCCGCAATCGCACCACTCGCAGCATTCTCCATCACAGCACTCATGCGATGTAGTTTCCGTGGTACCAGCTGTTCCGTTTGGCACTACGATAGCTAAAAATAGTAAACTTCTACTGACTAAGCAATATATTCCTAAAAAATAAATGTAGAATTAGTTTACCATTTCCAGTTCCAGAAGATGCTTGCGGGTAAGTCCCAATTTCGGTAGGTTGAGCCCAATATTGCGTGAGTTTGCAAGGATCTCCCGAATGACGGAGAATTCGTATATGACCATTTTCACCCCAAGATGGACCCCAACTAAGAGAGAGAGATTGGATGATTCTGATGCAATTTCAGAAGTCTGAGTTAATGGCATTTTGAGTAAGATTATTGTTAAGAGTAAGAGTTTTCTTTAAAAAATACATTTTAATGGTTATTGAGCGCACCTGTTTCTAACAATCCAGTACTGAGATGTAAACCCAACGATTACGACTGCATGATTAATCGTTGCACCACATGTGCCATCAAATACTCCTTAAAAGATAGAGATTAGAGTAAAACCTAAACAGTTGCCATAGCTTTAGGTAAATTTAAAACTGTTTTTATCGTCGTATGATCGAATAGCGCTGCTAGCGTAATTCATTTACTACCTCACCTTCAGAATAGCTGTAGATATTGGAGTTTACCGCTATTCCTACAGCAACAGGGCCACGGCGTACGCGCTCTTCCATAGCCTGAACGTTTATCACAATAGAAACTATTAAGTCTCTCGTTTCTCAGAAGTCAACACTTGTTCCAGATAAACATTTTTTGAATCAACTTACTGTTTAAACTAGAGGCATAGGATAGTATATAATGTTTAATTAATTCTTTGTACTGACTACTTTCTAATTTTCTTCAAATCATTTCTGCACCCTCACCGCATCCAGAGCATCAAAGGTTTCGTTGTTTGCAAAAACGTATCCGGCATCGTAACTCTTCATCCGAGGTATCTCTGGTGGTGTGAGGAGCTGACAGCTTGAGGAAGACTAGAAATTTTTGGTAAAATAGTCCACGTGCTGTGAGTTGAACGAAGTCGGGAAAATGTAGAACGAAATTAATCGTGTGGAAAAGTGGTTAACAGTACCTCCCCGTTGAACGGATAAGCCTCATTTGATGTAAGTCCTTTCTTTTTCAGGTATTCTATTGCTACCTGGAACAGATTTTCTAAAATTATAAATGTAAGGATTTGGAATTTTTGCAATGGGAGCGATTGAAATTCTTGCCATATTGATACGTATTCGACTGCTGGAAGCTATACTTTTCAAAATCCATTTACAACATTTTGAAGAAAAAGCAAACCTTCGATGCTACTTAACTAACCTGAAAATAGCCTCCACCACAACCCAAATTGCTCAAGCCAAATTCAGAGCTCATAGTTCGATCACAATCGAGCAATTGTTGCACAGATAGTGCTGGAATGTCATGATCTAAATATGAACGAGGCTTAACAAACTTCTTTCGAGGTTTCAAATCTCTAGTTGTAGGAAATTGTGAGGGATTACTATTGATTGTAAAGAAGCCTTCCAGAACAGCGGTCATAGCGAATGCCCAACAACCCCCACAATGCATCTGAAAAATCTTGTACACGCAGGACATTTACTAAGAATTAGGTAAATCTGTTACCTGATTGGCTACAGGTTGCATATAAGGTCGGAAGTCAACAATATCATTTTCTACTTGTCGTTTGCGTCTTTCTATTTGAGGGATGATGTTAGTGAGCGGCATCGGAGGTGGGAGCTCTAGAGCCAGAGGAGCTAACTCGTCCGATTTCTGAAGACTTCGCAAGAGATGATAAGGAATTAGGACAGCTCAAAAGAACTTTGCACATTGTTTAAGGTTATTCCGCACTGAG